ATTGTGGCAACATCATGGCAACATGTTACATTGAAAAGGCAACCTTTTCTCAACATTGAGGCAACATTGCCATCAACCTTTTTTCAACGTTGACACAACGTTGTTGTGCCGAATGGGAAGCTCATGATGGAATCTCATTGCTACCTCTTACTCTAGTGTGTTAGCAAGTTTAGACCTTGTCAATTTTGTCAAAATCAGACTTATGGCTACTCAGGGTAAGAGTGATAAAATTAAGGTTTCATCTTTGTATTAGTGAAACTGGTTTTTTTTTTTTGGCAGATTCAATAATAAAAATTTGTGCATACCAATGTTAGACTGCTTCAAATCATGGCATTTCATTCATTTTCTTTGAAAACAATAAATTCACAGTATTTGGACTGTTCAATGTGATCACACATCTTGTCAGGAGTGGTGTGTTATCATCTGGAAAATGGTGCTGGGGCAATTCAGTCAACTCAGTCAACTCAGTCAACAGGATGTTGGGGGGGAGAATTGTTTGGTTCCTAAGGCATGTAGGTTGTGTCTGAAGTCATGAGTCAATTAGCCAATGTCTAGTGATGGAATATCTTGGTTTCAGGATTTATGTTTTGGGTTAGGTAGCAATTTATTGCAAGTTTTGCAAATATTGTAATTCTGTATACATTTAGGCAAAAATGCATGTATTAGTTATGTTTCTCATGAAGGAGAGTGTTTTTATTTTATTTTATTTACAATTATTTACAATTATTTTTATTTACAATTTTGTCCAGAAAGAAAGTTTACTTTGCTTTCTAAAATATCATTCCCTTATCAAAGAAATTTCAATTGAGAAAACCACTGAATGCTAAAATAATGCATTTTGGATTCGCACCAGAAATGAGTGATTTATTTATGGAAAGGCATATATATCAGGATGAGTAACTTGAAATTAAAGCCCATTGCTGCATTGTCCCTTGCCAATGACATTGGAATTAGATGGTTCTTGAACTGTCATTGCTGCCAAGGGCTGACTGTGCCTGGTTGCCAGGGCATAGGAGGTAAGAGAACCAGCAAAGCATAGATTAGATAACAAAAAATCATCATTCCCTATGGCATGGGCATTTCCCTTTTGATTTGTTTTTATATTGTATTATTGTATTGTGTTTTTCCCTCAAGTTGCAAAAAGGAATCTTACACACAAAGAGATACTGCATTTGAATAAAAAGATGAAAGTATAGCTTGTGCCTTATTTTACTATAGGTCTGGAAGAAATAGGTGATGCTATTTTGGGTTCCAAGAAGAGAAACTTAGCAACTGGTCCTATCAACGCCTCAGATTTTGATTGGAATGCAGTGGAGACTTGTGTTCTTTGTGGATCTTCCCAACCACCCTACGAGAATGAAGATGACCTTCAGGTCGGTTGAGTGTGCTTCCTGATGAAGCCTGAAACAAGGAAGTTACAGGTTGGACTTTGTAGCAAAATGTAAAATATCATAAAAGGAGGTTTGAGCTAGGATAGAGTGGCTGAAATTCCACTTTTTTTTATTTATTTATTGGCATTCATTTTTATTTGGTCTTTGCCTTTAGATCTTATGGCTGCATAGGCTTTATATTGCATCAAATCGTTTAGATCCCCATTCCCAGGGAATTCAGTACCCTTAGGTTCCAAAGTGCAAATAATTGATTTCTTATTTTACTTATTTTTAAATAGAAAATTTTATGGATTTAGGTCAAGAAGTCATGTCAATTGCTTAATTGACAGTTGGCACTGAATTTTGTTTTCTTGCTATAAGTTATATGTACTTTTTTCATAATTTAGTTTCCCCCCAATGAAATTGGCATAGGTAAAGATGTGTTCTTGCATGCTAATGTAGTTTGTTTTGTTTGGTCAGAGAGGGAAAGAGGGAGGAAAGGGTAAGACCCTAAACAAGGGAACCTGAGCCTTCTCTCTGGAGATCATTTTTCAGGGCCATTAAACATGAGGTCCCTTTCTTTTCCCTCTACCTAATGGCTGGCTGGAGTCTCAGATTTTCATGCATGCCACCAGTCACTGGATACTTCCTTTTCCAATGGAAAGAGAAGATGAATCCAAGCGTTTGAGAGGAAGGGCTCATCATTTTCTGTTGAATAAGGAAGGGTAGCAGAATTTTCTCATGGCAATGACTTCCCTCACAATCACCCCTGTCTGTAGCATGCTGAGTGTTTGTGTTGTATGGTACTATCCCTGCTGAGTGTGCCTTTAGTGCTTATAACATGGTGAACCAATTTTTTTCAATCCCTATCATTTATTAAAATTAAGTTGAAGAGGTGTATTGTTGCCTCTGTAATATATCAGTTGATAAAATGGAAAGCACATGTGGCTCAGTAAACTGAACAACCTTTTTATTTTAAATGCAGATGGAACTTATAAATATATATATACATACATATATTTATCTTGTTTTGTTTTTCCAGTTGTCTTCTATACACATTAGAATTGTTATTACTTTCTATTTCGTCTAAGCTGAAGGAAAGAGTGGAGCCAGAAGTAATGAAGTTTCACTGTCATTATGCTTGTAAAATTAGATGTTAATGCCTGCCAGGAGAAAGACATTGACTCTCTTGTCAAAGAATTTGGGTAAAGTTCTTGATGCAGTGTTTTCTTCCAATTGTGTCAATGATCAGGATAATGGAAACCTAAGACTTAGGTGAATGACTGGTGCATTTTGCATTTATTTACTGATAGTAGTGTCTTAATCCACAGGTGCAACAAGAGGCCTGTACCTCTTGATATCTTGAATTTTACTTGTTCACTTCAACTTCTATTAAAGCTTTCACAGCTTTCACAGGAAGGACCTCTGAGCAGCACTATGGTACTATGTGGTAGGCTAGAGGGAACAGGCAACACACGTGATGTCAAGAGTCATGGGTTACCTGATACACTGTTATGTGATACACCTGTTGGGTTGGACCCAACACCTCTTGTAAATGAAACACTCATGTCATCAGGCACTAGCTGGCAGTAATTGAAGCAATTATGTCCAGCCACTCTGCTGTGACTGCAGTTTAAAGTATACTCCTTTTTGTAATGGTACATCTAATAAATGGGCAAGTGACTTACTGCACGATTTAGGGAAAGAGGAAAGCAATGAAATATACTTAGTACCTGACTTGCTCTAAGCATTGTGAGACACAGGCCAACAGTTGAGTTGAGAAGTTGATTGACTTTATATAAGAGATCAGAGAATAAAAGTAAGGGGTGGAAGTACAGTATGTGAAGAGAATTCCTGCATTTGCAGGAAAGCAATCTTTTGGGTTTGGATGTTATTTTGTCAAGTTTCAAGTCTTACTTCTACTGCAGTTCCCTTATGCTAGCAAATAAAGTCAATGTTGTCTCGTGGTTTTGAGCTGGAGAGGACCCAATACTGGGATTTCAGATTCTTAGATAATAGATGTTATCAGGGCTTGCTGTGACTGTCTTTTACTTGGACAAAAATATAACACACTCCAGCCATGACACATTCTACAGAAAAGCAAAAAACCTGGCTGGTCCATGTCCCATATGCTGTTGGTGTCTCTGTGGACAATGGCTGATTTGCAATAATAAATGTATAAAACTGATAAAATAGCTTAAGGGGGTATCATATGATAAGTTTTAAAGGTTTGATAAGTTGGCTGTATGCAGAAGCATTTTATATCTATCATGCTAGGGTACCATGATAGGTATATAAATGGCTTCCATCTATTATGATCCAGAGCTTGCTTGTTCAGATTATAACAAGCTACCAGGATGAACTATGTAAACTGTCACAAGTTGCACCCAGAGCAGCTGTTCTGGGATAGATTAAATCCCTTACAGGGCTATGTCTCAAGCTACAGCAGTTGGAGTTCAAGCACTAGTCAACAGTGTCAGATTAAAACCATAAAATCATCGCATAGCACTCTGGTCAGTCATAATACAAGCAGATAGCTATGGCATTGTTGTTGGGCATACAAGCTGATGGGTAGGAGATTGTCATTGAAAGATTCACAAATACTTATTGTGGTAGGTGTTTTTTACCTATTGTAATAGGTATGAAGATGCCTATCAAAGTAGGCCTCACAATGGATACCTATTAATTGTTCTTGCATACTGAACCTAACAAGTTATAGATCTATTGCCTGATACCTATCATGATAGCTACCATGTAATAGCTGTCAAAAAATAGGTTCTTGTATATGGACCAATGTATGAGATCTAGCAGTTGTATGTCTCAAAGGTCTTTTTGTATTTTTACTAATGGGATAGGTTTGTGAGATGTGGTTGGTATCCTTATAATGATGACATGCATTATTTGGAACCCTTGTCTGGTGGTTTGCTTTGTCAGAAAATCAGGAGTATCCCATTTAAGCAGAATCATCATGAAATGCAGAAATCTTCCATAGCAGTTTCATTTCTATTACCAAGGCAGAACATTGTTGCTTTTGCAATGCTTACTTGCTGATCTGAATTATAAAGTGATATAACAGAGGGTCTTCTTGAAACATATTTAATGGTACTCATTTTGACTGTGTGATAAAGGTGTCTGACATGATTTCATATGGCTGTCCCTGCACACAGATGCTTCTTTGCATGAGATTGAAAAAATGCTAGGACTGGATCCTCTGCATGCAAATACATCCATTCCAATGAGTCCATGCAGTCTGGATAGAAAAAGGAACATATCTCAGAAATCATAATTCCAAAGGTTGCACAAAGAAGTAATTTGCTCTTTTTATTCCAAAATCTCCCCATGACTTTAAGCCAGGGTACTTTCTTTCTTTTGAGTCCTGATGCTGCAAAAAAATTTGTTTATAATGCTTTTGTTTCAAGTTTAAGCTTCAACATCATTTTCCTGGTTGCTGGCCCACTTCTTTGAAAGCAAAATGTCATGAAAAGGATGACCTGGGTTAGTGCTCATATTCTGTAAGAAAGTCATTCCAGAGTACTGACTCATTTTCTCTGCCTCAACACAGTTTCAGTTTTCCTGTTGGAGATATATGCACAACATTTTAAGAGTTTCTGCATCATGCTCTCACTTACCTGATTGGGAGTTCAGCATATATGGGAGGCTTTAAATTGAGGTTGGTAAAATGAATGAAGCAACAAATGGAGCCACAGGCCAGTGAATGGTTCCTGTAGTTGGAAAATTAATTGTCAATGCTACTTCATGATTGAATTCAGTAAATGTGTCTCTTCAAGGTGAACGTGACAGTATTCATGATTTACATGAAGGTTTGAGTGAATTACCTTGACTCAAACCTTGCATACCACAACAAGACTAGTGTTACCTTTACTCCATGCTAACAATTTCTTGCTAGATTTCAAATGTAGTATAAAAAGCTGGAAAGTCTGAAATTTATTTACTGCTTTACCAAGTTGCTCTGCTAATTTTTTAAATTAAGAAGTTATATTCATACATTATAGATTTTATGAACTGTGTTGTGAAATTCTGGGTGTTCCAGTTTAGTTATGTATTAATGAACCTAGCATCCCATAAGATAGTGCACATCATATCATCTTGTTCATTCTCCTGTCCATAATTGTCTTCATGCTCTTTGACAAATAAAGGCAAATATCTTGAAATATCTTTTATCTTGGAAGGCTTTGGCAAACAGGCAGCTTTGACAGGCAAATGACTTAGTCATAATCATAATCATAGAAGATGTTTAGTCCTGGTGAAACTGGGGCATCCAAAAGTTGGTAGAATGTGAGTGCATCCAGCAGATGCTAGAGAGCTAAAAAAGGTATTTGGCTATCTTCAGATCAATGTTGAAACAGAGGAAGTTATTTCTTTACTTCTGAAGATGTGCAGATCTGGAGATTCTTGTAATTTCATGAGACTGAGAGGAATGGTAATGTGCACACCTACCACTTCCTCTGCAGAAAATCTTAGCAAGGACTATTGGAAGTGGCTATCTTTATATTTTATATGCAAAAATCTCATTCCGTTCTCAATTTTTGTTAGTTGAATCTTATCAGTTGCACATGTTTTGGTTCCTTGAGCAATTGCCCATTTTTTGCCCATTGTAGCATATGTGATGCCAACCCTTGTCTGCTTGATTTTTAAATAATTATTTTTGGGTGTGAACGCTATCATGTACACTGGAGAGGCAATCATTCACTTGTATTTGCTACATTGGGAGGATGTAAAATAGGTGATAGTGTTCATTCAGAGTATGTAGGGATGGGGCGGTCAATTGACCATTATTGACCACTAATTTTTTTAATTAAGTGAATTAAGATATTTTTTTTATAGAACTCATAACTGTGGTCATTTATCCCCCAGCACTAAAACCAAAGAGCCAGTTCAATTATTAAGATTTGTTCATGCAGCCTGCCAAACACCTAGATTGTGGCACCTGTTGTGTAGGAAAACATTTTAGCAAATGCTCAAACTACCATGACCTTTCACCTGAGTGATGCAGAGTGTGTGTGCAGGCATAGCTTGCTGTTCAAAGTTTTATAGCCTCAGGGACTTTCAAAGTTGAGGTTCAAGATCTAAGTAATAGCTTTAGAACTTTAGTTTCGTGCAAGGTCAATCATGGTCCTGGCTAATAGTCTGCATCAGAGCATCAAATTATTCTCAAAGTCTGTGATCATGGGACAAGTACTTGGGTTATGCCTATGCCTATGCCTAAAAAAAATTAATCTAGCTATGAAACATGATTCATTACTGTTTACCCTATAGATTGCATGAGTTGGAACATTAAATTTATCTTAGCAATGAGATATTGACTGGTCAACATGGTCATTTATGATCATATAGTCATAAGGCCTAACCCTCTTGTTGGGCTCATAACCATTATTTTCTGCAAATGGTCTAAAATGACCATGTTGACCAGTCAGCTTCCCATCCCTAGTCAATCACTTGTGAGTCATGACATATATAATGGTGCAAAAGCTATGAAGAAAAAAATAAATAAATAAAAGTTGATACTATTTACCAAAATTGACCATAGTTGACAATATTTGACCATATTGACTGGTCAATTGACATGTTTTTTATTGACTGGTCAATAACCCATCCCTAAGAGTATGTATATGTAAAATAGCCTGTGTGTGCCCCAAATCAGCTCTTTTGAGACTGTCAGACTGGAGGTGCATAATTCCTATTGCTTCTGTATTTTAGTGTCTCTACTCCTAAAGTTTTTCTCACTTGGCTTTGATGAGCTGAGTATCATGTTCATTCTTATCAATGTTTTAAATTCTGACTTTGGCCTGTATGACTACTGGATGACTGATGCTTGAGATCTTATATTTATATCATATACTTTACTTCCATGATGTTGACAGGATCAGAATGGGAGCATGAGCATGGACAACTTAGCTGAGGCCAATGGGCTGGATGACACAAGTAGTGAACCTGACACTCGGCCTGAATCACCTACTGAGGGGGCCTCCAATGTTGATGAACCATTGGATTTGAGCATCAAGTCAGGTTCCCCTGTGCCCAATGATCAACACGTTCCACTTCCAAAAATTCTTCCACCTATCTTGAAAACTGCTTCTGTCAATCATAGGTCAGTTATGCTTTTTGGGTTGTATTGCTTTGCTGGATCTTTTCATCTATTTCTGCAAGTGTGAAGTGACTCCCCTCCAGCCACTGACCACTGTCCAGCCTACTTATAGTAAAAAAGGTCTTGCATACCCATAAAGAAACCCGTTCTTTCAATGCTGTAGACTTAAACACAAGGGTGGAGCTGGTCCCACACTTCCTATGTCATTGTCACCCATTTAAGTTGATTACTCCTTTTAAATTGTCTGATTTAACAATGTATGACCTCAGCATCATTACCCATTAGCACAAGGCAGGAGCAGGCTCAAAAGTTAACATTATGGTTCTGGTATGTAGACAGTTCCATACCAATGAAACAAGTAAGATCAATAACTCACACTGGAGTGAAACCACAGGGACATGGGCATAGGCCTAAAACCAGTGGGGCAGATGGCATGAGATGGTTCCATAGTCTTTCATAAGTGGCAGGAGTACACTTTGAGGTGGTGGCTTATAATATCACTATGAGGCTTCGAAGCTTGATTAGCTTAAGAGATCATTGTTCTGAAGAAGAGCTTGCTTTACTAGAAAAAAAAGGGTCTAGTTGAATGGTCAGATATTATTATGGGTGATGGGTGAGTCCTAATTCATAATTTATCAAATTATGATTGAATTTCATGATGGGAAGTAAGTTATTATTTGGCTCTATGACTCAATGGATACAAGTTCTTACTTGGATTCTGTAATTTGTCCACTTATTGATTTCTGCTAATTGTTTAGAGTTTTTCAAGTTGAAGTTTTCACATGGGTAATGTGTTTTCATTTTTGAGGGGGGATCAGTCTTGTATCATTCAAAAATTCTTACCCATTTTGAATCTAATTACTGATTTTTGATGTAGGAGTTGATCTCTGCAGAAAGCCCAAGATCTTCATGTTTGAGTTAGATTTGACATCATCTTAATGGAAATGAGGTCATATTGGTTATCTCATAGTGTCTGGGAAATTATGCACATGTGCTAAGTGCATGCTGTTCTGTCTGGCTGCACAGCTGCCACTCCAGCTGTGCTGTACTTTCCTGCTGGCTATTCCTCCCTCTTTTGCCATTTTACCCCAAAAAAGAGGTGTGGCTATTGGCTCAGGGACCCACATCCAAACCCCTTGGTTTAACTCTTTGTGCATGATGAGTTCATCTTGCTGCATATTAGGCATGTGACATTTGAACCACACACTTCACCTTCAAGCCTGCCCTTACTAACACATTTTGATGAATAATAAATATAGTGGCATCATATTAGGACAGACCACACTTCATGTAGGGCTTCCCACTGAAATTTTCTGCTTCTGGTTTCTTCTCGGACAGAGATTTATGAGCAAGGTGGTCCTTTACATTCTGCCAGGGAAAGCAGGTCAGGGCAACCTGCTTTTCCTAAAAGTTTGGTATGTACAGGATGTCCATGAAAGAATGAAGCGATTTTAAAAATGATTTATTTTTAAGCAGCTTCTTGTAAAACAATGAAACAGACACTGAAAGTTTTTTCCGAGTGCTAAAAAGTAATCTTTCAACGCCTCAGTACCATCTCCTAAGAAATTTATAATTTTTTCAAAAAGCACACACTCAGTATAAAAATTGGTAACTGGAGCAGAAGGCTTAGTGTGCGCTGTGGCTGGCAAAAAGTTGACTCTGCCACACAAATGCAGCTTGAGTTTTTTGAGAGTTTGTAAATTTGTGAAAACTTGTACTGAACTTGTGTGGCAGAGTCAGATCTTACAAGCCTTAGCATACATTGAGCCTTCTGCTGCACAGCTGCCATTGTTCACACTGAGTGTGCTTTTTGAGAAATTACAATTTTCTCAAGAAATGGTGTGGAGATGCTGAAAGATTGCAAAAAGCACTCAGGAAAAAAATTGACAGAGTACCATATTTACTCAAGTATAGTGTGCCACTGTGTATAAGATGCACACCCCACTTTTGAGGTCCCATTTCGTGAAAAAAAAAAAAGATTTCCCTGTATAAGGGGCACCCCCTAGTTTGTTACGAAAAGTGTCAGACAAGTGAGATGAGTAAGGGGTACAGCCGGTTGTGAGGTTGGTCAAACCTATTTCTGTCTTGTACCACTTTCCTGACCTTCATTGAGAGGGGGCTCAGTATCCCTAACATTTGCTTTATTATCCATGAAAATGGATGGAAATTTTACAGTGAAATTACACAACATCAGAAAAATCAAAAGTGATTCAGGAAGTGAAGGAATTGCACATCTGTGCAAAAGAGGTCATAAGTATAACATCGAGGAAAGCTGTATATGGAACTGGATCAAGGTGAAGGCAAGATTGAGTTGGGCACTAAAGAATCTCTTGGCCATTCATGGGGGAAAAGGGATAATTTCTGGTAATCAAGAAGGAAGTGGCTGATTACATAAAATGCAAGTCCATACTTCTGTTATAAAATCCTTGATGAAGCATAACATTTAAGCATTTTGCTTCATTCTGGCACTGTTTGCTGGTGGGAAACTGTGGTGATCTAGACATGAACCCATACAGTTGCTAGAGCAAATGAGATCTCCCATTGAAAATTCAATGCATCATGAGGATGAACAGTGCAATTCATGAAGCATGTTGAATTTTCTCATTGTCGAAAAACCTCAGTGGCCCAAGATTTTCATGAGAAGTGATTGTCTCTGGAATGGCCCCTTGGAGAAGGATGAGAGTTGGTGAATGAATTTTCCATGCTGCCAGACACCTCAGATTCCAATTCTGGTTGAAGTCTGCAAATTGACATAGCCATTTCCTGTTTACTGTTTTATTATCATAATATTACATTTCCCCTATTCTGACTGACTACAGACACGGTTTCTATCTCAATAAATGACCAATGAGTTCCAGGTATGCTAGGAAAAAAAATTATTGAAAAATATAATTTTTTTCCCCAAGTATAAGATGCACTCCCTCCTTGAACACAATAAAATATGCATTAAAAATGCACCTTATACAAGAGTAAGTATGGTATTCTTTCTTTCAGTCTTTGTTTCATTGTTTTATGAGAATCCATTTAAAAGTAATTAATTTTTAAATTGCTTAATTCTTTCATGGACACCCTGTACTCCAGCCTCCAAAAGGACAATCACTCCCACATGGGACCATTTGCAGGCTTTTATTACCCTTATACCAATGGCCACAATGTTGGATGATGGGTTTTTCATGTGTGTGCAAGTCTGTCTTCTGTTGATTTTTCAATGAAATTGAGTGTTTTGTGTTCCACCTTAGTCTCTTTGTTGGGATCATTAGCATCCCTTGATTCATTACAGAGGTTTTGAACTTGTGTTGTAGGTATTCAAAAAAGAATGAAGGTCTCAGCACTAGGCGTGCTTACTCCAGTGTTGATCTTCAAGCTGCACTCAATGACATCAGAAGTGGCAAATTGGGCACAAGGAGAGCAGCTATGCTTTATGGGATCCCTCGCTCCACGCTTCGTAACAAAGTTTACAAGTTGAAGACCTTAGAGCCTGGAGATACTGAACTTGATCAGAAGATTGAAAACTCTCCAAGCCAGGCCTTGAAAAACATGCTCAAAGCTCATCTGTCAGAAAAGGCATGTGGTTCTCGAGAAAGCAGTAGTTCTCCTCAGTCTGGAGTAGCTAGTGATCGTGAGGACTTCAGTGATGAGGCTCTGGCAACAAGTGGGAAATCCTCAATAGTCCAGGGCTTCATGAAATACATGGCTGGTTACAAGAATCATCAGTCAAAGCCCAAGTGCCAAAATGAAGAATCTGATGATGTGAGGTCATTGCTTCTAAATCCTTTCTCTTCCAGTGTTTGTCCGTCCAAAAACGAGAGCAGCTTGACCAAGACTAGTTTGGTGCTTGGTGGCAACTTGGACCCTCCCAATGGGTGTCCCTCTCCCTGTGATGGTGATCATGTTGGTGAGAATAGTGTTGGCTCGAGTGATCAAGGTAAAGATGCTAGCAGTGAGAAACCTTTGTCTAGTCAGTCTGTGATCTCCAATGGAGGAAGTTTGGAAAAAGCTCCTGGAACTGTAGCTAGTGGTGTAGAGTTAAGTCTGAAAGATATGATTGCCAAAACCATCACACGGAGGCTCATGTCTTCTGCACCAAAAGCAGAAGTCATTTCTTGTAGATCAGGTTCACAAAAGCCTGAAAAAGTATCAAAGGAGCCGGAAGCCCACTACAAAAAAGATGATAATGCACGGAAAAAGCGAACCAAGAGGGGGAAATATCGTAATTACGATCAAGATAGCCTAGTGGAAGCAGTTCGAGCCGTACAGAGAGGAGAAATGAGTGTCCACAAAGCAGGCACATACTATGGTGTGCCACATTCCACACTTGAGTACAAGGTGAAGGAGCGGCACCTTCTCAGGCAGAGGAAAAGACCTGCTAAGTCCAGCACTGACCAATCAAAGTACCAAGCAATTGCTCCTAAACCAGTCAAAAAGCAGGAATCTCCTCAGCTGGCCATTCCATTCCCCAAGCAACAAGCCAAAGAAGCAAAGGTAACAGATCCCCATCACAAGTGGAGCAGCTCCAGCTTGTCAACACCACCATCAACAGGGAAGGCAAATGGAATACAGTCTACCCTCTTTCCACCCTCTGCTGCGGCCTACCCCAGCATGGCGTCTCAGTTGCCATTTTCTCCATTCCTTTTCTGGCCTCCAGGCTCTTCATTCCTCCTGGATCCCAACATCAGTCAAGATCCTTTATTGGCATCCCAGTGCCTACGACAGTTATATGATGACTTGCACTTGCAGTCCTGGCTCAATGCATTGGGGAAGCAAGAAGGGAAAAGTTCTGAGGAACTTGAAAAAGGTGAAAAGAAGGTTACCAGCTCTACAAATGGGTTGGATTCTGACTTGGGGGATCATAGTCTCCAGGATGATCTCAGAGTTGCCATTCGTGAGATGGAAAATGCTGTGATGGAAGAGGGTTGATTGAGGCACTGGGGAGTCAGAATCTGTGTTCAATCTGCGCCGGTGGCTTTTTTTTTGTCATGTAATCTTCAATCGGCTTTTGTTTTTGAGTTATCTCTTCTCTGGCATCCATAATCCTGCTCACTTGCCTTTGCAGCAATGATTTAGGAATCTGTGTGCTGCCCCGGTTACTTTCAAAGTGCCGAATGTGCTTGTGACTTCTGGAACCAATTATTCTCTATGCTACACCTATTATCGCTTGTTCATGTTATTCTAGTGTTGTAGCACGGTGATTGTGTTTGCTTTTGTTTGGGACTATAGTTGCTCTCTATGTTTTCATGTTATGAGAGATGCCAGTGATTTTCGAAGGGTTTTCGTTTTTGCACTTGAAGGGTCTCTTCTCATTCATCATCACACCTATTTTCTCCATTGAAAAGTCAACCAAGAGCTTCCAAGCAAATGGGACACCCCCTGATCTTCAGCAACAGTTTGAAGCACGAGGCATTCTTCCTTCATTGTGGTGCTCCTGTGAACCCTCTACATCCTTCATCCCTTGTTTTTGACATGGAACTTCATTTTGTTTCTTTTTCAGCATTCTTTTTTATGTTGTTGCTTGATATGTATTGATGTTTCAGTTATTTGTTTGTCTGGAACAAGATGGTAGAGATAGCGATATTTCATAAGTGATTTGCAATGGAAGCATGTAAGAGCTTCAGCTCATAAGCAAGCAAAGAATCATACCTGCATTGCACAAGTCATTCCAAAGTGTTGCTGTTTGCTCGTAGTCCTACGCCAAAGCATTCAATTCTTGATACTGTGGATCAAGTTGTTGTTGATATGATGTCTTAGTAACACTGGCATGAGGTGAGAGTGGAATGGTTTTCCTGTCAGAAGTCGCACACCAGTGTGGACTAGTCCATCAAGGTGGGTCATTAAATAAATTGGATCAGTGGAAAGTATGGAATGACCCAGGGGTCCAATACAATACAACTTCCTGTACAAGCTTTTGCCTCCTCCAAAGGAAATATCATCCTATGACTGTGATGAGTGTCTTGTTGCCTTTCTGCCGTGATTGAGACACCCATACATTCAAACATTCTGTGCTCTTCTTCCCTTCTTTCTCCTTGTATGTGGAGGACAAGTGAGGAATTACTCTAGAATTATTGGTCTCCTTGGTCAGGCCAGCTTGCCATCACCCACATTTGTTTTAGTCACTGTTTGGTGCAGATTGTTGCTGTAGTCACGACAGTCTGCATTCAGTCTCTGTACCGGTGTACCTAGTTGTCATTCATGTAGCATACCATGAGGCACACATAGCCAGTGCATATCTGAAGCAAGGTTGCGCATATCATGCATGGCTGTTCTTTCTCTATTTTCTTACTTTGCATTATTGGTGTTGTTTTTATAGGCCTATTTCCATCAAAACTTTGTTTATGTCAATCTGTGGATGTAGTAATTATACCTGGACTGTTTAGACCTATTGAAAAAACCTTGAACAAGTATCCTGATCTGATGTTTTTTGATGGCAGAAGTAACTTCCATCGCTCATCAGTCCTCTTGACATTTGCCCCCCCATGGAAATTTCTGTGAATCACAAAAGCAGCAATTGGTGATTGTTTTCCCTGAGGTAACAAATTAGAAAAAATTGTGCATTTGGAGTTAGTGAAGCTCATTGAAGAAAAATGAGAGGTATTCAAGTCAGCTGATAGTCTGACTCTGACATCAGTTAGTGATCTCCATTATGTATATTCCTATGTCCTCTGACTAATACAAGTAATGCAACATTTTCATGCTTCTAGCACAAGAAAAAGTTGGAAGCTAAGGCTCCACTGAAGTCAGTCATGCAAGACTGAAGAAAATTTTATGCTGAAGTTAATATTTTGTAATTTCATTCACCTTGTTGCTATTTTCTGGCAAAAGTCAGGGTGCTTCATATCAGCCTGCATCTTACACTTACATGAGCAGTCCAGTCATTTTTCCTATGTCCATGGGTCAAGCATTCTATCTATCTGTGTTGCAACAATCTTTTTTTTAACTCTGTATTTCTTTTCCCAAGTTTTACTATTGTCACATTTCCAGTGTCAATTCCTTAAGCTATGATTTTGGAATCAAACCTTTGTTAAGAGTGGTGTTTTCCACTGTAGTTTGATCTCAGCCTCTTGTGTGGAGCTTGATAATTGTGCAATCTTTCTCCAAATTGTTTGCATAGCTGATGTGGCTGAAATCATTTGCAGTCAAGTGAGACCGGAGATTTTTTCTAATCATGAAAAATGGTCTGTGATGTAAATCGTCCATGAGAACATTTTGGAGGCAAACCCTGCTTTGTAAAGGGCTGATGGAATCCAGCTGAAAATTTTTGTATCATAGGCAAGCCAAGTGTTCTAAAGTGTGATAGACATGGTGACTGTGGCATTTTGCAGGGTTTCATTTCTCAAAATCATATGATGACTCCTCTAGTAAAGGCAAAGGCATTCAGGTTTGGTTTTGAGGGTCTGTGTTTTTGGCCTGATAAAGGGAAATACTCAGCTGTTCCAGCTGTCATTCCAGTTTGACTTGTAGATTGAGAGCACAAAATTGCAATTTTCACATTGAAAAGTCTTGATATCAACAGTTGCTTGATATGTGGAGCATGATATATTTTCTGGATTTTTGTCAGTTTGTTTGAGGAATATGCGCCAAAGTTCTAGTCGTGATTGCTTAGCTTCATCCTCCAGTTTACCAGTTTCTTCAAAGCCTTGATCCTCCTCACAAGTGTACATATATATTTTGCATGTTCTGGATTACTGTGTGTGTGGAGAGTGCCCGCTCACTCTTGGTTGCTATACATTGAGTTGAGTAGTTCTTTGATGTATCTTTGTAGCATGATAGGCAGTCCAGCTTCTTTCCCATTCGATTTGCTTCAAATTTGTGTGTTGAGTTTGGTCTTTTCTATGGAATTTCCATGTTGATTTGGCATTCCTTGTATTGTCATTTTGCATGGGATGCTGCAGATCCTTTTCATGATGTCCCTAGGAGTCTGAATTATGGGCAAGTCAGAAATTAGATATCATCATTGAATGACATGCAGTTGTGTTTATGAAAATCTAACCTTGATGCCTTCATGATGTGATGACAAGATTTTTTTAAATTGACAGGGTAACTCATCAAAGATTCCTGTGACTCAGCCAATTGCTGTGATGGAACATTTGTAGTTCCAACAGTAGTCTTTACATATGATACAGTCAAGCCATTCATGATGCTTCAGAGCCTCAAAAAAGCACATTCCAACATCCCAGGATTGTGGCTGTATTTTCGTTAGAAAATTGACAATTTATTCTGTTATGCCATGTGTGGCTCTCTTGTGCATGACTGGGCTTGGGACCAATATTAGCAAAGTGTAAGCTACACATTCCATGTCATTACCATGTGTTCAGGTTTCTGACATCATTGATGAGAGCTTGAGACAGAGCAAGAACCGAAGCATTCTGATTCTTTTCCTGTGTATCAACTTGATATTTGGTTCAATGGTGTTTCCTTTTTATGTCTCATGTGGTGTTCCACGTATCTTCTCTGATGTGATAAATAGTGCACACTTCTGTGGTGTCTGAAACAGTCATTCCATGTTGCTATCCCATGTCTTTTATGGAGCAGATGCATCCCTTCAATATTTTAGAAGGTGTTTCACCCGGTGGGTTTCTTTTCTGTCTTGATTTTCATGGCAGCATTTGCTTCCTTCTCCCCGTGAACCTGATACATTTTTATAGCCTGAATGTCCAAAAAAATCTGCTATTTTATGTACTTCATTCATGTGTTAATTCAGCAATTTTTAAATAAAAATCAGTATAACTTGAGTTGTGTTGATTCTTTCTTGTTAGCTGGAAGAAGCTCAGAATCATCTGGCATTCACAAGTGAACTGAGCAGGTCCAATAGATCTTACACAACTGTCTATAGATATTAAGATTGCAAAATGCATTTTCAGAATTTGTGGAGTATGTAGAAAAATATGCTTGAGGCATGTTAATTAGAATGTGTCCCACAAAGATGTAAGATAGGCTCATGACAAAGGAAATCCAATTGACCAAAATCAGGCTGCTAGCTTCAATGATATAGCCTGGTGATGCTAAATGCACAGTAGATACAAAGCCATTGGTATTTTACCTGTTGAGTTCAACAATGGCCAAGTTTCTCCCAATGGAATTGCAGTTTTCTGTGGTTCCCAAGCAGTACTGTTGTTATACACAGTCACTCATTTGGTGAAATATCAGATGTAACAAATTTATTACTGTGGGATGCAATAAAGAAAAATGGTGTTTGACAGGATCCTTTTTTGAGTGAAATAATTGGCATAATTGAAATATTCCTACTATTTGAGGCTTAGCCCTTTTTTTGGGCTATCACAGTGTAACTTGCAGCTTCTGTTTTCATGTTGAGAGAAGCCCAAAATATATGCCACTGTGCCTCACCTTGGGATAATGCAGAAAGCAGATTATTTTATGTCTGTCAAACAGTGAGTGGGAACCACTCTATTTAACTTTGAGGGAATATCAAGCTTTCAAATGGAAAAAAGACTTATCATCCTTATTAACTGAAGGCTCGTGAATCGCCACAAGCCCGAGTTCCTTGTTGTCAGATGTTTTGGCATCTGACTGGCTTGGATATATATTTTTTCACATCTGGAGGGTTTGCATTCATTCAGCTCTTAGGTGTGAAAGTAAATTCCACTCTTTTTAGGCATACATCACTATTAAAAGGGGTTTAGGTGATGCAGTCTACTGCACCTTGTCCTCCATGCCAATGACTTTGTCCTTCAGTCATGTTTCATATTGTTGGCATGGCACAAGTTATTTCTTGGAAAGGAAATCACAATACACAAGAGATATTCTCTCTCATTTTTTCCTAATAGAACTTGGCATCTTCAGCAAGCTTTGGTGCTTCATGCTGGGTTGTACCAGCTTTCTGTTTTATGTTGATCATGCTGCAGGAAAGCATGAAGCTATTCAGGTCCCATATTGCTTCCCAGTGCTTCACATCGAGACTCCCAATGCGATGGAAAGTCTCCATGGCTTCCCAAGCCACTGTCGAAATTGATCAGGCCACTCGACCTGAAAATGCAAAACCATTTTCTTCCATTCCTGGTCCTCTGTGCCTTCCTTTGATTGGAACCGCTTGGGACACCTTGCCATTTATCGGTGAGTTCCTTTTGTCTATTAGTTTATTCCCATAGGGATTGGAACTATATGTATTTCCTCACAATCAGGCCATGGCTTTCAAGCCAAGAAGCTGCATGAAAGAGGCTTCAGACATCTCAAGGACTTTGGGCCTATTTGGAAACTCAGATTCCCACCCTTGCCTCATATAGTGTTCCTCACTGATCCGCATGATATTGAGACAATGTTTCGAGTTGAAGGGAAAGTTCCCATTCGTCACATGCTGCGGTCTTTGAAGCATTACAGGACAGTTACAAGAAAAGAAAGTTATGACAACCCTGGCATTGTCTTAGCGTGAGTGCATTATGTTAGTTTCCTTGGCTATTTGATATGAAGGCAACCGAGTACAAACTGTCTTCTGTCATAACTACAAGGTGCTTTATAGTCATGAAGTTGCTTAGAAGGGAAATTCTGATGTAAATTAACATGATTGTATGAGTGAAGTATATATCAGTTCTAGCCAGCAGACAGAGAACGAAGTGATGTTAGGGCTGGATGAGGAGGTATCTTACTCTTAGTCAAGGGTATTCACATATGTTATGATGGAGAATAATTCTAGCTGACCACTTTCGTCTTCCAACTAGAGAAAAGTATTTATTTGTAATTTCCTAATTTCACACATTCCACTGCATCATCTTTGGCTGCTGAGAACAAAATAGGAATCTTCAGCACTATGCATGCAGTCATGATTGTTCTTAAATCCAGAACAGAGTTTGGTCCTTTTCAGTGCTATTGGTGCTCTCTGCACTATTTCATTCAATTGTCCATGCAGAAGCCCATAGCTAGACCATCCTTGCCTCAAAAGAAAACTGAGCCCAACTTTTTCATTTGATTTCCACTATGCAAGGAAGTAGATAATGGCCTTTGTGCCAGGCTGTTATATTTTTGGTATGCATCACCAATGCAAGTATCAAATTAATGTTCATGATATATTCAAGTTGCTCATTTTCGCTCACATTTCTGCTTCAGGAGTGGTGAGCAATGGTACAAAGTGAGGAGTCAAGTTCAGCAGAGCCTGATGAAGCCTCAGTCCATTTACATGTATATTCATCAGATGACTCAAGTGTGTGATGATTTTATTACCCGCATTCGCTTCATTCGCAATGAGGATGGCGAGGTGCCATCAGATTTTCAGAATGAACTCTACAAGTTCTCCCTTGAAGGTTTGTATGATGAACTGGCAGATTTAGCTCTCTAATGCTTGAGTGATAGCTAGCTCTCTATTGCTAAAGTTTTTTTCTTCATCTCTGCTGTGCTCATCATTTGGTTATCCAGTTTCATATTTCTTGATTTTTAGCCATAAGCTGCGTGGCTCTTGATACAAGACTGGGATGCTTGGACCAGCACTTGGCACCAGATTCTGCTCCTCAGCTCCTCATCAATGCTGTGTTTGAGACATTTTCAGCTTTCAGTTACCTGGAGCCACGACCTCCTTACTGGCGTCTCTTTCCAACTCCTTCATGGAGACGACTTGTCAAAGCTCAGGACACATGCACTGAGTATGTCTATTATCTTGGATTAGGTGGTAGATGATTAGACTAGATGATCTCTGTCTTCAATGGACTGGTGACAAGTGACATCCACTTTTGCTGCCTGGTCATGATCATGGTGATGAAGTTTTCTTTCCTATTGCATAGGATTTGCTGCAAGTACATTCAGACAGCTTTGGACAGAATTGAAAAGCAAAGGCGAGATGACGATGCAGACCCAACTGTGTTAGAAATGCTGCTGTCCAATGAAAAGTTGACTCAGCAGGAGGTTTTGACCATGATCACTGATATGCTCATAGCTGGAATTGACACTGTAAGAAACACATCTCATGTTTTGGCAATCATGTATATTGTTTCCTTCTGATCCCGGTAAGTCTTGGTAATGTATAATATTGCCCTATCTTTATATCTCTCAGACTGGAAATTGCCTTGGGTTTACCCTCTATCATCTTGCAAAGAACCCAGCCATTCAAGCTAGGTTAAAGGAAGAAGTGCAGAAAGTTCTACCTAACAAGGATGACTCCATAACTCATAAGGAATTGGACCAGCTTAGGTATCTGAAGGCATGCATCAGGGAGAGCCTCAGGTGTGTGAGCAAGGCATTTATGAGTTTGTTCATTTTCTTTGTGTTTCATCTCCCCACTTTATAAGCAGACAAGGTAGATGTATCTGAGTCATGACTAGAAAAAATGGAGTCAAATATGATTAAATTTGATGTCAATGAAGCTTCAGATTATCTGTCCTTGAGGAATTTTCAGAGTTGGAAGGATGGTTATGGATTTTCCCCCATGCTTTCTTTGCATTATCTATTTGTCCCTCTTGTTCCATGCCAGGATGACTCCTGTTGCTGCTGGAATCTTCAGAGAGATGCCAAAAGATGTTATTATTGGAGGATATCACATTCCCAAAGGAGTGGGTCAAGGTTTCTTTACCTCTTCTCTTATCCTTATGAAGCTGAATCATATGTTCAATGTTTTGTTGTCTTTCTACTTGGTGATAGAAATGGGTTGTTGCTTTGACTCATGTTTCTGCTATGCGTGAAGAAAACTTTTCAAACCCTGAGAAATTTGATCCATCACGCTGGCTTCGAGGAACTGGTGACAAGGCACATCCCTTTGCTGCCTTGCCGTTTGGATACGGACCAAGGATGTGCATAGGACGTAGACTATCTGAGCAAGAAATGTGGCTATTGCTTGCCAAGGTAGGTAGAAATAAGTATGTTAATAAGATACTCTACTCCAATAGAAAATGATGCTAAATATGGGGTCATTCCACATCGAAACAGCACAAATGCAGAGGAAATTGATCTGACTCCCTCTAATTTTGATGATGATTTGTGGATTTATTGGGTCCATTGAGAAAATATCCATGCTTATTTTGAACTATCTATGTCAAATGCCTTTTGATGCACTGCAATTTGAATATTGTCAAAAAGTGCTGATTTCAGGTGCAGTAGTCATCACTTGTGTGCCCATAAGTTTTGTCATAATAAATGTAGAGAGATTAAATTAATGTAATATTCAGGCACTTTGATATGATTTGTGTTTCATGAAGTTCATTAGGAAATAAAGGTCAGTGGTCAAATGGTTTGACCATTGCCCTTTATTTGGTAAATGGTCAAATGGTTAATCACAGACCATTTTGATGCTTGGGGAGGTATGATCCACCTGAAAAATTGTGCAATGGGATGTATTTGACAAGGCTAATTTAAAAAAACTTGAGACTCATTTCAATATCGTTTAGTCATTCAATCCTAATGGCTTATCTGGATTTTTATTGCTTATGTAAAGTTGTCTTTTTCCTACAGAAAATAGTTGTGCTCTTGTTTTGATCGCCCTATTTTTCTGGTGCATAATATCTCATTTTTCTTTTATTTCTTCCCTTTCAGGTGATCCAGAACTTTTGGATTGAATATCATCATGAGGATATCTCCATTGAGAGCAGGTTCATCTTCTCACCAGACAAGCCTTTGAGGTTTTCCTTTTTGGAAGCTTCATAAAAGTTGGTCCCTTTTGTGATGTTATTTGTGATGCTTTTTCTACTTGGGGTGATCTGCTTTTGCCTGGCAACTTCAGCTCTCANGAACTCTACAAGTTCTCCCTTGAAGGTTTGTATGATGAACTGGCAGATTTAGCTCTCTAATGCTTGAGTGATAGCTAGCTCTCTATTGCTAAAGTTTTTTTCTTCATCTCTGCTGTGCTCATCATTTGGTTATCCAGTTTCATATTTCTTGATTTTTAGCCATAAGCTGCGTGGCTCTTGATACAAGACTGGGATGCTTGGACCAGCACTTGGCACCAGATTCTGCTCCTCAGCTCCTCATCAATGCTGTGTTTGAGACATTTTCAGCTTTCAGTTACCTGGAGCCACGACCTCCTTACTGGCGTCTCTTTCCAACTCCTTCATGGAGACGACTTGTCAAAGCTCAGGACACATGCACTGAGTATGTCTATTATCTTGGATTAGGTGGTAGATGATTAGACTAGATGATCTCTGTCTTCAATGGACTGGTGACAAGTGACATCCACTTTTGCTGCCTGGTCATGATCATGGTGATGAAGTTTTCTTTCCTATTGCATAGGATTTGCTGCAAGTACATTCAGACAGCTTTGGACAGAATTGAAAAGCAAAGGCGAGATGACGATGCAGACCCAACTGTGTTAGAAATGCTGCTGTCCAATGAAAAGTTGACTCAGCAGGAGGTTTTGACCATGATCACTGATATGCTCATAGCTGGAATTGACACTGTAAGAAACACATCTCATGTTTTGGCAATCATGTATATTGTTTCCTTCTGATCCCGGTAAGTCTTGGTAATGTATAATATTGCCCTATCTTTATATCTCTCAGACTGGAAATTGCCTTGGGTTTACCCTCTATCATCTTGCAAAGAACCCAGCCATTCAAGCTAGGTTAAAGGAAGAAGTGCAGAAAGTTCTACCTAACAAGGATGACTCCATAACTCATAAGGAATTGGACCAGCTTAGGTATCTGAAGGCATGCATCAGGGAGAGCCTCAGGTGTGTGAGCAAGGCATTTATGAGTTTGTTCATTTTCTTTGTGTTTCATCTCCCCACTTTATAAGCAGACAAGGTAGATGTATCTGAGTCATGACTAGAAAAAATGGAGTCAAATATGATTAAATTTGATGTCAATGAAGCTTCAGATTATCTGTCCTTGAGGAATTTTCAGAGTTGGAAGGATGGTTATGGATTTTCCCCCATGCTTTCTTTGCATTATCTATTTGTCCCTCTTGTTCCATGCCAGGATGACTCCTGTTGCTGCTGGAATCTTCAGAGAGATGCCAAAAGATGTTATTATTGGAGGATATCACATTCCCAAAGGAGTGGGTCAAGGTTTCTTTACCTCTTCTCTTATCCTTATGAAGCTGAATCATATGTTCAATGTTTTGTTGTCTTTCTACTTGGTGATAGAAATGGGTTGTTGCTTTGACTCATGTTTCTGCTATGCGTGAAGAAAACTTTTCAAACCCTGAGAAATTTGATCCATCACGCTGGCTTCGAGGAACTGGTGACAAGGCACATCCCTTTGCTGCCTTGCCGTTTGGATACGGACCAAGGATGTGCATAGGACGTAGACTATCTGAGCAAGAAATGTGGCTATTGCTTGCCAAGGTAGGTAGAAATAAGTATGTTAATAAGATACTCTACTCCAATAGAAAATGATGCTAAATATGGGGTCATTCCACATCGAAACAGCACAAATGCAGAGGAAATTGATCTGACTCCCTCTAATTTTGATGATGATTTGTGGATTTATTGGGTCCATTGAGAAAATATCCATGCTAATTTTGAACTTTCTATGTCAAATGCCTTTTGATGCTCTGCAATTTGAATATTGTCAAAAAGTGCTGATTTCAGGTGTGGTAGTCATCACTTGTGTGCCCATAAGTTTTGTCATAATAAATGTAGAGAGATTAAATTAATGTAATATTCAGGCACTTTGATATGATTTGTGTTTCATGAAGTTCATTATGAAATAAAGGTCAGTGGTCAAATGGTTTGACCATTGACCTTTATTTGGTAAATGGTCAAATGGTTAATCACAGACCATTTTGATGCTTGGGGAGGTATGATCCACCTGAAAAATTGTGCAATGGGATGTATTTGACAAGGCTAATTAAAAAAAACTTGAGACTCATTTCAATATCGTTTAGTCATTCAATCCTAATGGCTTATCTGGATTTTTATTGCTTATGTAAAGTTGTCTTTTTCCTACAGAAAATAGTTGTGCTCTTGTTTTGATTGCCCTATTTTTCTGGTGCATAATATCTCATTTTTCTTTTATTTCTTCCCTTTCAGGTGATCCAGAACTTTTGGATTGAATATCATCATGAGGATATCTCCATTGAGAGCAGGTTCATCTTCTCACCA